ATATCTTTTCTGATAGGAAGTGAATCTAGTAGGTACTTCGGAGGGTCAAAAGTAAAAATTTTCTAGTAGTTTTCAAAAACGCTGTGAAAAACAAAAGAAAAATTAAGGAAAAATGGGAATATTTGTTCAACATTTTATATCTAAGAATTGAAATTTAAAACAAGGTTCCACTTAAATAGGTTACATATAAATTACTTTATTCACAATAATATCATCAAATATACTTAGTAATATCATAGGCTGACTGACCGTCTTCGCTCGGTATCGTTTTTCTTATACAATGACATTCTATCATTGAATTCTAATTTAATATCATCCATTATATATAGTGACCCACTTGTAACCCACTGTACAGCGAGCGATACCCACTTCCTCACCTTTTTTATTTTTATTTTGTTAAACGTTGTTGCATAACGACTTGAAACCATGTACCAAATAAAACATTTTCGAAAACATTGGTACATTTTGAAATAATGGTTCAGTTATGTCTCAGTATCCTATGCTACATAAAGTAATAAATAATATGAACTGTGGATTAAAATTAGCCATAGGAGTATTCTGTTGCAGCCATTTAGTATGTAGGTGGTGATATTATGACTGAAAGGAAATGGACTAAAATATCTCTTAAATACCTAGATAAAAAAAATTATATATAATAAAATAAAGGCATAACCTGAAAGAAAATGGACAAAAATGAAAGAGATGGGCCGATACCGATACCCGATATTGGTAGTATCGGTATATCGGATATGGGTTTTTTTTAAACCGATAGTAAAACCGATATAATGCAGTCGTATATCAATGTGGATGTAATGGTGGTGGTTATACCGTTAATGCTATTTTTAGACGTATTAAATAAAGAATAAACATTTTGGTAATCATATACAGTAGAACCTCGATTATCCGTCCCTCTATTAACCGTCTTTCTCGGTTAACCGTCAGGCCACTTGTGTATGAGTAGGGTATAAATAATAATATATGCATACATATTATAATATGTAAGTATGTATGTAATTGTAAATAATAAAACTTTTTAATAAATTAAAAAGTAATAATAATGTACCAATAAGTAATAGTACCTAATTATATCAATATGTATGTCATAATTACTAAAAAAAATAATAAATAATATGTATATATGTTTAAATTTTTGTTGTTCGCTTAACCGTCTTTTCGATTATCCGTCAAAGCTCTGGTCCCGAGACTGATGGTTAATCGAGGTTCTACTGTATAGTAAACCGGATGCAATCACAATTTAAATTCAATTTCGGTTATTTAATTGTTTTAATGCTTACCAGGGTTATGATTTTATTAGTAAAGATAATATCCAAACCATTATTAATTAATATACTATCAAAAAATTTAACTTTTAAATGTATTAGTAATTTATTTTTTAGTTATAAATTATTTTATATTCATTATTTAGTATAGTGATTTCGAGTTTGATTATTTTAATCTATACTAATATATAAAATGATAGCGTTTGTATGTATGTTCAGGGTTAACTCCGAAACTACTTATTGGATAGTCTAGCAGTTTTTTTAAATTAAAGAGGACATCACAGAGAAGGCTAGAGGCTAATTTAAAAAGGGAATTGATCACCCCCGGTAGGTGCTAAAACAGGAATTTTGAGATTTACGATAGAAATTTTTGTTTATTAATGGTTGCTATGGGTTAAGGAGTTGAGAATAATATTTATTTATTACTATTTTTTTTCAATTTGAATATTAATAGAGCGTCTCAATCTCATTCGTTTCAATCAGTCAATGAATGTTTGAGTGTAGATTAGTCCTCTGGGTAGAATATAGGCTAAATTAGGGAATTTTTGGAAAATTAAAAAATGTTAATTACTCTTATAATTAAAATAATCTATGTAAAAAAAAAAACCATTTTAAAAAATAGATAAATAGACCTGTCATTGTCATTTCACATTTGCCAATACGGTTATCAATGTATTATTGTATTAAAATTTAAAAATATTAATTCAATATTTGTTCTATAAATATAACGTAGTTAAATATCAAATTGGTATTTATGTGGGAGAGTGTATTTCCCCAAAAATAAATCACCTGTGTTTTTAATTGTTAAAAATTGTATACTTATTGTCTATTTATATTTGTAATAACTAATAAGGTATTACGGTAACTGGTTGATAGGCTTATAAATTATATTACAGTGACTGGTGAGTGGTGAGTGATGACTATAGTAACTATTTGATAGTTTTTATATATTTTTAAACTTAGTGAGTTGGTAATAAAATATATTAAATATATATTAAATAATATTAATAACTAATAAGAAATAACTACATAGTAAATACAAATTATAATTATTTATAAATCAAGTATAGAACTCTCTAGATTTATCCACTACAGACTTTAAGTTAGGGTATGGTATATTATATAATATGTATGTAATATGATTATCAACTATCATTATTTATTAGATTGTTTCCACAATACATTACTTTTAGAAAAAAAAAACCATTTTTTCATTCAACTTTTCAGGAAAACCCAGTTTTTTCGTCAAAACCATTTTTTCCGGAAATTTTAAATGAAAAAAATGGCCCGAAAAAAACGGGAAAAACCCTTGTTTTTTACGGAAAACCTTTTTTTTTGGAAATTTTGATCCCTAATACTATGTCTAGATATATATACATTTTATTTAGGTTATAATTGATTATAATTATCAAGAGCTCAAGCCTCCATCAGTTTAATTAAAATATTATCATGAACAATGATAATGATATATTGTATACTGCCTCCACCGAGAGACCGCTACTAGGCGGCGACCAAAACTCGTCCGATCTCGCGCATTCCCACCACTAAATCTGCCCGTACGTTTGCCGCCGTCAACTATTACCGCCGAGACCGTCGTTGCTACAATTATATGGTAGAATGGGAGAAATTTGGGAACGGGAACGTGGAGCTCGGTAATTTGGATAGCGCTCTCAAGGTGGCGGCAGTATAGTGCCTAATAGTAATATTCATGAACTTTGATAGAATCTATCTTAGTTCGTGGTATCAAAGAACATATTAAAGTGAAGGCAATGGTATTTTTATAGCTGCTATCAAAATACCATTGTTCACAGAAAAATATTTCAGTTGATCTTCATATTTTTTATTTTAGTTACTTATATACAATAGCTATAGTACCGGTTCTAGCTTTAGTCAATATATATGACAATATAGTCTTTATTACATGTAAGATTTATGTTTTGTATACAGTTTAATATCTAATTAGTAATTACCTTGACTATCATGATATTTGTTTAGAACAGAGCATGTTGGTACTGAAATTATTTGAAAATAGTTCGATTAAGTATTCACTGTTACTTTATTAGTCATACATTTTATTTCTACATATTTTCAAAAAATATTAATTAAGGTTTTTATTCAAAAAACAAAATAATCAAAAAACAAAATTATAACTTATAAGTAATATGATGGATATAGACAATAATAACTAACTAGGATATTATTAAATTTTCTTTCATTTTTTTTTTTAGGTATTAATATACCGCATAATATAAGATATAATATACTGCGATATAGGTTTATAATAACACATATTAATATAAAATTGTATGTAATAAAACAACATTAAGGAATGTAAAAGGATTGTGGTGCTTGTAATATTATTATAATAATAATCTCCTAATAATATGTGTTTAAATCACATTGCGTTGAATAAAATACTTTGGATTTAAAATTTGTGGCAATTCGCCTCTCCTATCAAACTCGACAAGGTCACCAAATACGAGGTGAGACCTGGTAATGCCGGAGTGACGTGGATTTCATCTTATATAGTTCGATGTTTGACATTATTAGGTAGAGAAAGAAGTACATTAATTTAATATAGTTTTGTGAAAGCCTAACATGCATAACACTCAAATCAAAGAGAAAAAATAAATATTAAAAATAAACCAATAGATACATAATATAAATATATAAAAACGTGTACATTCCACCGCCTCCTCTGGACGATTACTGTGAAAATATAATAATAGTGATAATAACATTAAATTACGGTACGAGAATACCGGCCACAGTCCATAGAAAATATTTTGATATTAAAATACCTATATTACTAATCAAACACAATGTGCTTCATGATATGGCACCCGATGGTGCACCGACAAAAACGGAGCTCTGCTCCTCCAAGCTATATCAACGGCGTGTATAAAAGAAGTTTCGTCACCCTCCGGCTTAATCGGACGCAAACACACGGATGACGGAGTCAGTTAGAGTAATAGAAAGAGAAAGAACAGTTGTGGAGATTTTGTAAATTAATCGGCTGATATTAGTGCACATGGGAGTGTGTGCAAAGTCCATGGGATCAAGACAGGAGAGGGGAGCATCTGTTCATTTGCCGTACAGGTAAGCGTTATCATCGATGGGTAGACCGGTGCACACGAATTGCGTACTAAGTCAGGTAAACGAACCTTTTTGAACGAATTGCGTCCCGTACGCAATTCATGTTACTTTTTGCCTTAACATATTTTTAGTGGTTTCCAAATTTATTTTTAATTTTGATAATATTTTTAAATTTTTAACAATTTAAATATTTATCACAAATATTTCTATTATATGAAAACTAGCTTTTAGTGGGTTTGTACTTTTATAGATATTTTTATAAAAATATTACGGACTATACGGACTTTCCAATCAATATGTAACTATGGATTATAAGCGAGACACTATATAAGATTACATCACGCATAGCATGATGTAGGTAATCATGTTAACACCACAGTGATTAGATACAGATGCTTGATTAATATAGTGTTGTAGTTGTCAACACTGATATTATTATTATTATTATTATGTACACACACGCGCGCACCGTCAACCGTTAGGCATCTCGGCACACTCTCTTCTTGTATCTTTGTATTCTTTGTAAGTTATAAAACATAGTAATAAAAACTACATAAAACATGGCGCTGTGGCTAGAACTTGTTTGTCTATTGCTATAATTTGTAAATACACTACAAACTCAAAATGGATTCAAAAGAAATGAACTTCAGCGGCAATATTGAAGCAAATTGGAAAAGCTGGAAACAACGACTGTCATTATACCTACTAGCAAGTAATAAAAACACGTGTTCGGACGAAACAAAAACGGCGATATTACTCACGTTACTTGGAGAAGAAGGCATCAATATTTATAATACATTTACTGAAAAACAGATCTATGACGAGAAGAAAGTCCCAATATTTCAAAAAGTAATTGCGGCATTCGATGAGTACTGCCTAGGAAAAAAAAATATTGTATTTGAAAGATTTAATTTTCTTAAATACAAACGCCAACACGGACAATCACTAGAAAACTTCATCACACAATTAAAATTATTAGCAGCATCGTGTGAATATGGGCAACTCACAGACTCTATCATAAGAGATCAAATTATTATTAATACTTCAGATGTAGTACTCCAAGAACAGTTAATCAATAAGTCTGATTTATCATTAGAAAAAACTATAGAAATCCTTAAACAATCGGAAAATGTCAAACATCAAATTGAAATAATAAACAAAGGGGAAAAAGAAGAGTCAGAATATTCCCATGTCGATGCAATAAAAAGAAAAAACAAATATAATACAAATAAAAATAAAGTTACACAAGCAAACTTCCATTGCAGCAGATGCGGCACACAACATCCAGCAAGAAGCTGTCCGGCCTTTGGGAAACAGTGCAAGAAGTGTGCTAAACCCAACCATTTCGCAAATGTATGCCAATCGAACAAAATGGTTCAAGAAATAGCAGATGAAGAATGTGCAGATGAAGAATGTGCAGCGATCAACAGCTTGTTTGGAGTCAGCGAAATCATTGTGCCCCAGACACATAGCATTCAACAACCATGGTTCGAGGAGATTAAGGTAGAAAATAACTATATTAGATTTAAGCTAGACACCGGTTCTCAAGTTAATTTAATACCTCTGAATGCATATAAAACACTTAATATAAATAAATCCTGGAATAGTACAACTATTAAACTTGAGGCTTATGGTGGATATAAATTCATGCCGTTAGGCTCAATAAGATTAAAGTGTGTAGTTAATAATATTATGGCATGGGTGACATTCTTAATAATAAATAATAGTACCATACCTATACTGAGTCTAGAGGCATGTGAGAAATTTAATCTAATCAAAAGACATGAAAAGTGTATCAGCATGATCACACAGTGCACTAGCCAAAAAGACAACTTTTTGATAGATAATAGTAGTATTTTTAAAGGGATGGGAACATTCCCGGGCGAACATACAATTAAAATAAACCCCAATAGTCAAGGATCTATCAAACCTGCGAGGAGATTACCTCAAACATTATATAAAGATGTACAGGTAGAACTTAATAAATTACTAAAGCATAAAATTATATCTAAAGTTGAGGAACCCAAAGAGTGGGCTAGCAACCTCGTGATAATAAGAAAACCAGATAAAAAATTGAGACTTTGCATAGATCCATCAGAACTTAATAAGTCATTAAAATGAGATAACTATTTGATTCCAACATTTGAAGAAATCCGCTCTAAACTAATAAATAAAAAAATATTCACAGTGTTAGACATTAAAAAGGGATTTTGGCATGTGAAACTTGATAGTAAATCATCAGACCTATGTACATTCAGTACACCGTTTGGCTATTTCAAATTCAACAGACTTCCTTTTGGAATTGCAACAGCCCCCGAAATATTTATAAAGTTAAATCAAAAATATTTTGGGGATATAGATGATGAAAACATCATAATTTACTTTGACGATATATTAATTGCCACTACAGATGAAACATCTCATGACAGAGTATTAAAAAAACTAGTAGATAGGGCTAAAGCGCTAAACATCAAATTTAACAAAGATAAATTACAATTAAAAAAAACAGAAATAAAATATGTTGGCTATATTTTCAATGAACAAGGAGTTTCTCCTGATCCAGACCAAATAAAAGCTATAGTGAGTCTTAAGGAACCTACATCGAGAGTAGAATTACAAAGATTAATAGGCATGTTCAACTACCTTAGAGAATTCATACCAAATATGTCCAAAATTATCAGTCCTCTCAGAGAGTTACTAAAAAAAGACACAATATGGGTATGGGAAAAGAGACATCACTTAGCTCTAAAAGAATTAAAGGAACTTGTAACAACATCACCAATACTAACACACTTTAATCCAGATAAAGAAATAACCATTCAATGTGATGCTTCAAAGGACGGGTTGGGATGTTGTCTTCTCCAGGACAAAAAACCCATAGCTTTTGCTTCACGTAGCATGTCAGAAACCGAAATATCGTATGCACAAATCGAGAAAGAATTTCTTAGCTTAATATTTGCATGTAGGAAATTTCATTACTATATCTTTGGTCGCACAATAAATGCACTAACTGATCATAAGCCTTTAGTGTCAATCATGCAAAAGGATGTAATAAAAATACCATCAAATCGCTTACAGAAAATGAGACTAAAACTATTAGAGTATGACATTAGATTAAAATACCTGCCAGGAAAAAAAATGCATATAGCAGATCTATTATCTAGAGACTACATGCAAGAGACCTTTACAGAGGAATTTGATACTGGGGCTACGGTGCATTGTATAAATAGATTTTACAACAATAATCTTCTAAATATTAAAACAGAATCTGAATTAGACCCAGTTCTTAATAAGATAATCGAGTACTATTACCAAAGTTGGCCAAATAGGAAACACATAGAGAAATCAGTGCAGCTATACTATAACTTAAGAAACGAAATAATTATTGAAAATGGTATAATATATGTCGCAGATAAAATAGTGATTCCTACTAAGCTAAGGCCCCTCATACTTAAACTGCTACATGAAAGCCATTTAGGATTAAATAAAACAAAATTAAGAGCAGAACAAATTATTTATTGGCCGGGGATGTTTAATGAAATTGAACAATTTATAAATAATTGCAACACTTGCAATAAATTTCAAAATTCAAATAAAAAAAGCCCTCTAGTTCCTCATGAAGTTCCAAATTACCCGTATGAAAAGGTAGGAGCAGATATTCTATCCTTTGAGGGTACAGACTATTTAGTTATTGTTGACTATTACTCAAAATGGTTTGATTTAATTAAATTAAAATACAAGACTGCTAGTGAAATAATAAAAAAAAGTAAACAAATATTTAGTACACATGGTATACCAAAAACCTTCATAGCTGACAATATGCCGTTTAACTCAAGTGAATTCATAACTTTTTCTAAAACTTGGAATTTCACAGTTGTTACATCTAGTCCCCATTACCCACAAAGCAATGGCCTAGCTGAAAGGACAGTACAAACTAGTAAAAAATTACTTAAAAAAGCCCTAGAAGAAGGATGTGATGTAAAGGCAATGCTTCTAGAATATAGATGCACCCCAATAATCAGTCTGCAAGCATCTCCAGCAGAACTATTATTCAGTAGGATTTTAAGAACTAAATTACCAATAGCTAACAAATTATTAGAACCCAGACTCCAACATAAAGTACAAACTAAACTAAAAGCATTACAGCAAAAATACAAATCCAATTATGACAAAACAGCTACCAAAAAAGAAACACAATTTAAACCTAATACAAATATATTAATACAAAATAATAAAGTGTGGTTACCGGGGAAGGTCATAGCTAAGGCAAATGCACCCAGATCATACCTTGTTGAAAACAATAATGGTACAATTATCAGAAGAAATACTAAACACTTAAAAAATACTAAAATTAATGTTACAGGAAACAGTAAGGAGGGAAACATAGAGGGGAAATCAAAAGTGAAAAATAAGTCTAACAAAAGTGTCTTGGTGAAAGAGCTATCAACCAGACCCATAAGAAAAAAAAAGTACCTAACAGATTTAAAAATTTTGTAATGTAATTTAGCATAAACCATTAAAACCAATGTAACCTATTATATACCTGTCAAACTGTACTATTATTATGATCATTATATTATGTGTTGTATTATTATTATTATTATTATCATCATATTCAAACTGTATTACTAATAATTTTGTATTATAACATTAAATACTATGTAATATTGTATTCAATTATATTTGTAAGAAAAAGAGAGATGTTGTAGTTGTCAACACTGATATTATTATTATTATTATTATTATTATGTACACACACGCGCGCACCGTCAACCGTTAGGCATCTCGGCACACTCTCTTTTTGTATCTTTGTATTCTTTGTAAGTTATAAAACATAGTAATAAAAACTACATAAAACATATAGATAATCCACTTTTCAGACATAACTGATAAAATTAGTGACACCAGAATTGTCTAACAAGTAGGTAACATTCGGTACCTACATTATTTTGGTGTGGTCTGTAGTCTGCTCATATTTACTATTTATTCATTCAAATTTTTCATTAAAATGGAAAATGAACTTATAATATCAACAATGTAAAGTGAAAAAGGTGAAACATTAAAAGTTGTTAATGATTTTAAATTTGGATATCACAAAAATTATTCGAATGGAGATATTAGATGGAAATGTACGAATAAAAACTGCAGAGCTTTTTTACGAATAGATACACAAGATAAACTAAAGGTTAGTGTTAGTAATTTAATTCAAACTCACGAAAAACTAGAATTAAAAATTCTGAATCGCCAAAAGTTTAGCAATAGTTTAAAACGGAAAGCAATTAAAGACGTATCAGAATGACCTAGTAAATTATTTCATAGACAATTAAAAGAAGAAAATGTGTCCACAATAACATTAACTGATGTTACGTATATAAAAAATAATATGCATTATGCAAGTAGAACTAGTTACCCTCAATTACCAAAACTATAAGTGATGTTCATTCTATTTTAAACTCGATAGAAATTAAAACTACCGACAACGAACAATTTCTACTATTTAATAACTCGGATACTGGCATAGTTATGTTTTCATATCAAACTAAATTAAGCTTTTTTGGCAAAATAAATATATTTTATGTAGATGGAACTTTTGAATACTGTACTAAATTATTAGTCAGTTATTCACAATTCATGGATTACATAATGGTTATTATATTCCACTTGTATTTTTTTTACTAAAAGATAAACAAATATTGAGTTACTTTGAGGCATTTAAAGCAATTAATCACGAAATAAGCAAAATAAATCCCTCATTTTCCCCAAAAATAATTTACGTGGATTTTGAAAAGGCAATACACAATGCAGTTAATATAACGTGGCCAAAAACCTTAATAAGAGGTTGTCGATTTCTTCTCGGCCAGTCTTGGTGGAGAAAAATACAAGAACTAGGCTTGACTTCAAACTATATCCAAAATAATGAAATAGGCAAGTACTTAGCATTGACATTTGGATTATCTTTCCTAGAACAACAAGAAGTTGGAGATTTTTTTCGTTTGAAATGTCTGCTATTCAACCAGATGAACACAAAATTACAGAGTTTGCTAATTATTTAGTAGATACATATATCCATGAAAATTCAATATTTCCTCCAGACTTATGGGCAGAAAAGTTCAAGCTCACAAAGAACCACCAACGCTTGCGAATCTTTTCATTCAAAATTTAACAAATTTTTCGATTCTCCTCATCCAAATATATACACATTTTTAGAAGTTTTAAAAAATATGCAAACTGATACAACGATATTGATAAGAAGTAGTCTAGAAAAACGACGAGTACCAAGAAAACCAATTAGGGAAAGAATACAATTTATAGATAATAAAATAAATCAATTAAATAATAATGAAATCACAATTAAAGATTATGTTAACCTATGATATTATGATTTTAAAATTTAATTCCTTTTAAAAATATGTGAATACTTATGACCATTTATACCTATGATATTATGATTTTACAATTTAAATTTTTTAAAAATATGTGAATATATGACGATTTATTATATACGGTATTATGTTTTCACTTAAAGAAATACTCACCTGTAGATAAAAAGGTAACATGAATTTCGTCCGGGACCCAATTCGTTCAAAAAGGTTCGTTTACCTGTTTTGGTACGCAATTCGTGTGCGCCCGGGTAGACTTGAACATACGGGACAAGAAATGGTATTGCACATACGTGTAGATTATAGTTTTATAATAATTATAGTATGTTTTCAAACTGTTCACTCAATTCTGGTAATCACAACTTTTTTACAACAACAAGATTTCCAAAAGGATATATTCTCTTCCTAGGATTGTTAATACGAGTGATCGTATATACACTACCTTCTAAAAATACAATTTATTATGTTTTATTTCATAGTGAATAATTAGTTCCCTCTTCCCTGATGCAGATTTTTAACAATTCATAATAGAAAGCTATTTAAAAATTTTATATAACTATGTCTCGGTTATTGAGATGACATCTCCCGGAACTCCCAGACACCTAGGTGGAATGCAGCATTAAATTGTACCACAGTAACAACAACGTCCTACACAATCTATGTTGAACCCTCCATTAACGGGAATTATCGTTTGACCAACAACCCAATAAGTAAAACTCAATAATTAAGAAACAACATAATTATATTATTAAGATCAGTAAACACTATATTGAACTAGAACTCTGATAATCGTAGTATTTGAACTCCGCAGATACGGACTGGCTCTATTAGCAAAGCAGAATACTAAACACAATTCACGTTAAGATCAGTGGCTGATTATCGAGCAGAGGCACGCTTTAACCAGACGGATGATTGATCCGGTGTGGGTAAAAATTGGGTGTTACCAATAAAACTGATCGATGACAAGGTATCTTCTTAACGTGGAGGGAGTATAGATGGCGTAGGACGAAAAATATATAAATATGGAAAAACATTTTGAACCATTAAAATACTTATAAAATAAAAGTGTTTAAAAAAATATTCAATACGAGGAAAAAATTTAATCAATATTTACTAAGATGTGCAGTATGAAATTTTACTACATCCATAAGTATACCTGGAATTCATTGAGAGACTATATAAAGAACCAGGTGGAACATGAAATGATGGATTCAAGAAAAAACGATTTATACTAATGTGAAGAGTTGTAGAGGGATGCATATAAGATTGTTAGTTTATTGAAAGTAAATTATAACCAAGAAATTTGACATTAAGAAACTAAATAAAAAGACAGATATACATATACATATGTAAGCTTCGTTACGTTTCTACTGCTTCCATACTCTCATTATTTAATTTTTATTTTTTTTTTTATTATTATTATAAAGGGGTTTTGCTTTGAGATTACTTTCGGACTAAATAAATTTCATTATATTTGTCCGTTTTACTTCGTGGCTAGGATTTCCATTTTTCCCTTTGTATTTCGGAGTTATTCAGTTATTCATTTCATATGTCGTAAAAATATCAAAGAGATTTTTATTTTTGGAAATATGTGTTGCTTATAATGATACCACAGACATATTGAAATCGATAAGATGGTATCCATTATCGGTTAATACACTATGATAGCTTTCCTTACCAATCATTCATAGGTCTATATATATTTTCTCGTCCTATTTTTGCGTTCATGTCCCCCTTATTATTCTAATAAAGCGTCGGTGTTGTGAATTATAAACTCGTTAAAATTCATCACAAACAATGTCCTTTTTCTCCGTCTTTTACTTTTCCATCGAAGAGTGACAACTGGAAAATATGATATTTTAACCATTGATTCAAGGCTGATGAAACATATTCGATAATTCATGAATTCAAATTGTTTTTCGTTTGCTAACAATTTGTTATTTATCATATAAATCCGACCATAATTGCTTGTCTATTAACATTACATCCACTATAGAGGTTTGTTTTCTCTTTTTGTTTAGTACTACTTTTCCTGGCCATCTCATCTCCTGTTGAGCTGCGATATTTAAATTATACTTTATTATCTCATTAATAACTACTTTCTTTGTCACTTATTTAAAAAGTGTTCCAACAAGTACCAATTCGGAAGTTAAAAATTATTTTCCTGTATTCATTTCCAGGTTGGGAATCCTTTACGTACGGTGTCCGACGTATATTCTGAAGTTTCTAAACAAAAAAGTGTTTTATAGTTATGGGTTGTTTGCCCATCGAAAATACTCTTTAACGAGGCGCCGGCATTTTTTTGAAGGTACTTCAGTTACTGGATCACTTACTTGACAGAGATGTTTCTAGACCTTCAAGGTACACTTTTACATTGGTGACTGAGGTATACCGGATTGTCACACCCTTTACCGAATAAAGTTATCCCATACATTATAAAATATTTAAATAAAACACTTTAAATAACTAGTAATGTATACTTACATAAATCGTCAAGAATATATTTTGATTCTATAATAAGATACATTACATTATTCACAAACCTCAGTTTTTTACTAATTTTAGATTTCAATTGAATCGTAACATAATTGTGTTGATAAATACAATATGATAATAAATAAAAAAACATTTAAATTATTATTTTAGCCTAATACAATGAAGTTTGCCTATAAAACTTAATCGTTCGTAAAGGATAGAAAATCTAACAAAAATATTCAAACTAAAAGACAACTTTAGTTATGAATTATTACTCAATAAACTTTAAGGGTTATATTATAAACATAAATCAATAACAAAATATGGATAAAATTCTTGTATTTGACAAACCACATGGGTAATGCACTAATTCCTGGTGTATACTTTATAATATGAATGTAACGGACCAAACCCTAAGCAAAGGCAGGGAGGTTGACCTCGTTATGTTTTTTAACTAAATATAAATATAGGGTTCAATTTTAAGAATGATAAAGAACAGCTCTCAGAAATAATGTAAAACAAGTATAATAATTGCACGCAAAATACGTAACACACAATAGTAACAAATAAATCAAGGTAATCTATATAAATTTTTAAGTAATAAGCGACGCTCGGCGCTATGATAGCCTACTGACAGTGACT